ATCCTAACAGAGCACTTCGCTCTCAGAGTGCAGGTTTACTTGTGGTTCCTAGAATCCACAGAAGTAGAATGGGAGGCAGGGTCAAAGGGTCAAAGTGTTTATTTGTCATATACACAGTTAGGAAACGTGTTTGCCTGTACAATGAAATTCTTACTTTGCCGTCCACATGAATGCCACAAAATACAAATGAAATATAAAGTAGATAAATATGTAACACAAAATCTAAGGCACTTTAAGCAGCAAATGCAGCAGTATAATAAAAATATATAGGAATATAATAAGAGGATGTATGCTGCATGGGAGCAGCATGTGCAGCAGTCAACAGTCAATGTGCAGTTATGCATGTGCAAACTGAGAATGTAAACAGTACAGGTCGACAGTACATGATGTATTTCCTGGGAAAAAACTCCTCAGGTGTTTAGGAGTCTGATTGCAGAGGAAAATAAAGAGTTTTTCAGTCTGGAGGTCCTACACTTCACACTTCTGAACCTTCGGCCAGAAGGTAGGGAGGTGAACAGTCCATCCTGGGGATGGGTGGGATCTTTGAGGATGGAGGCAGCTTTCCTACGCACCCTGCGGTGGTAAATGCTCTGCAGAGAGGACAGTGGAGTCCTGGTGATCTTCTCCGCAGTCTTTACCACTCTCTGCAGGTGCTTAGAGTCAATAGCAGTAGTGCTGCCATACCAGACAGTGATGCAGCTGGTCAAGATGCTCTCGATGATGCAGCTGTAAGTGTCCAAGTGAGGTCCTTGCTGATGTGGACTGAGGACACATCCCTGTGGGGTGCCAGTGTTTGTAGTGATGCTGGTTGAAGTCCTATTGCCAATCCTGACAGTCTGGGGCCTGCCAGTCAGAAAGTCCAGGAGCCAGTCACAGAGGGTGGGGTGCAGACCTAGTGTAGACAGTTTGTGGGTGAGTTTGTGGGGGACAACTGTGTTGAAGGTGGAGCTGTAGTCAATGAAGAGTATCCTGATGTAGGAGTTTCCATTTTCCAGGTGTGAAAGGGAATAGTGGAGGGCAGCTGTGATGGCGTCTGAGG